TACATATATATATACATCGATAGCAGACTCAGAGACTGTACTTGTTTCTGAACGTAATAATGCAGGTTTGAAGAAACTGTGAAGCTTCGTCTGAACAGACAAGTTATCATCTGCCTTCCTTATTGCCCTGTGTCTTTTAAAGAATGTACCCAACTGTGAGCAGCAATTTTCATATTTCGATCGGTTTAACTGTAACCGGATGAGCGAGGGTTTACTGCATGCATATGGAACTTCGGTTAGAAAACCTAAGGGCAAGAGTACTCCTGAGAAAAATGGAGTTCATCTGGTTCAGGATAAAGCCCAGTAGTGGGCTGCTGGGAATAAGACTGCATGTAAGGTGGGGGGATTTCTTGAGCAGCTGAGCGACTATCAACTGCTTAATTAGGGTTCTGCAGAGAATGGTAGTTCTACAACGCCGTGTTCTACGCAGGCGCAGTTGTTGAAACTGAGCTCGTGTTTTACGTGTTGCATGAGAAGTGAGAGCTTTGTGGCTGCGTCGGAAAGTTGAATGGACAGCAGAAACAAATTAGCGTCGATTATGCCAGAGGCGTTAAGTGACGGAACAATTCATTTATTAATTCCGAGTTCCGCCGGGAATTACTTTCTCCCGAGACTGTGTGCGCGGCAGAATTAATATTAATCACGAATCCGTCAATTAAAACACGAAAACAAATTGCTCATCTCTGCCTCTCGCAACTTTTCCGTTATGAACTGAGCCCGCAGTGCGCCCCCCCCCAACCCGCCCACACCTCGCGTCTGCCCTATGCGCGCTGTGTGCGGGAGCAAGCCCAGAGAGGCACTGGACCAAAACATTGGATAGTTTCGTGGTTGTCTCCAGTTCCTCCCCCATATGCATGGATTATATTGTAAAAGCCCACAAGTTCCAATTTCTCAAAGTGATATCTCCGACTCCATGCTGATAACGAATATGCGGAGCTGATACGGTCTTGTGGGATGTGACGTCACGTAGTCTTGTGAATAGGTACCAAGTTACGGAGGAACGGACTGCCTCCATCTTCAGGGTAAGTGCAACTTACAAAGCACACTATTCATTCCAGGCAATCAAAATAACTGGATTCGGTGATATTCTATACGTGCGGCTTTCGTCGGGACGCAGAGCGACGGGGAACGTGGCGCCACACCGGTGTGTCTGTATATGCAGACACACGTACCAGGGCGTCATCTGTGTGAATGTGACATGTATCGAGGGGAAGAGGAGTTAGGGTGGTTTCGTTTCTTTATTATTCGGGTAGCATGCACACAACTTTAGCGGATGGAGGGTGTCGCGTGGTCAGCGCAACGAATCCCCACGGCAGTTAATCTCGATTTTCTAGACCGGAGCCGCTACTTTTCCAGTCAAGTAGCTCCTCAATTATCTTCACGAAGCTGAGTGGACCCTATTCCAGACCCACTACTTCTCAGAAAATCTGGTAACGCCGTGAATGGAACCCGGGACCTCTGGATCTGTAGTCAGGAACTCTGACCACTAGACCACAGAGGCACTAACTTCGCCGACAAGCGGCGGTCGCTCGGTCGGTATAGTTCGCTTGCGGACTAAAGTCACGGAGTTTGTTTCAGCATTCACATAGACGATCAGAAATACGCACAGAATTTTGGTCGAAAAACCTGAAAGACAGAGAAGTACGCGTAGATGGAAAGCTAATATTAAAATACAGGTATTTTTGTGAAACAGCGTGGAGGAGTGTGAACTGGATTCATCTGGCTCAAGACAAAAACAGGCCCTTTCTTGACTAGCGGAAGCACTAATGATCTCCCTAACAAAGGCTCAGCACCAAGCAGCTATAGGACAGACCGACAATATTCACCGCTCAGTTCAATCCTTCGTCTCCCTGTCTCTGAATCAGCAGCGCAAAGATTCAGACTAGAGCAATGTAAGTTGCACTTGTTGTTCTGCACGGACCTGGCACTTCTGGCAACGCTCTAGAACCCAAATCCTCTCTAATTCATCAAATCGCTCATGCGTTATCCTGCCATATATAGTCTCGACATCGAAGGAGTCGTTATGTACCCATCTCTGATCTGGTTGCCATGCAACCGTTAACTGGTCACTGTAATGTAAAAGCGAACTATGCCCACCGCTGTTTCGTCGCTTGGCAACCGTTTATTAAATATTCATAAGTGATCACTACAGGGTGTGGCGGCTTTCAATGACAGAATATCCGTACATGGCAACACGCAGCCTATTGACGGGTGTCGTCACTTCAGCAGACAGCCGCTGCCCCCAAGGCGTGCCAAAGCAGGGAGAATGTCTGTAACAAGGTAAGCTGTAAAACCAATGCGATTTTGCTGCAGAGGCTACCGTGTAAGTTCGTTCCGAATGGTAACAGATGGTGCTGTAATAATGTGTGTACTTACCTGTCTGGCAACAGAACACAAAGTCATCACAATGCCCGACACTGGACGCAAACCTAACCCAATTCCAACCCTCTCAGATTCTCACAACTTTTCCTTAAAGTCCGTATGATTATTCGCATGACCGCCGCTGTGGTCTGGTGGTCAGAGTTCATGGCTATGATCCAGAGGTCCCGGGTTAGATTCCTGGCGTTACCAGATTTTCTGAGAAGTAGTTGGTCTGGAAGGGGGCTATTGAATGGAAAAGCAGCGGCTGCGCTCTAGAAAGCCGAAATTAACGGCCGTGGGGATTCGTTTCGCCGACCACGCGACACCCTCTATCCGCTAAATTTGGCACTAACCGCCGACAAGCGGCAGTCGCTCGGTCGGTATTGTTCGCTTGCGGACTAAAGCCACGGAGTGTTGTTTATTATGATCCCCATATTTCCTTCTTAGTCTTGTAAGTAGGCACTTTCCAATAGGTAACGCTCGTTTCAAACGGCAGGGTAACATTTTATCTCACGGAGTTTTTGTTCAATTACTTTTCATAAAGCGTTAAAAACTACCCCCCCCCATTTTTCCACCTCATGCCGAAAACAGATTCAGTTTCAGGAAATTTGCATTCGAGAGCATTCACGAAGTTAGGCAATCCCCAAAACAACATCACGTTTGTCAGAAATGTTTAAGATTTGCATTCCCTGCACATCAGTAGGGTTGCATCTGACATGGGTTCATGTCGACCGTATCTTGTTTCAATTACAGAAAACATGCCCCATTACGAATTCTTGAATTTTATACAAATTGTCTTTAAAAGGACCCTTAACTTTATCCGAGTGCAACCAATTTAAAGATCATTTCAATACGATTTGCATTTTGTGTCAATTTAAGCTGAGGTAGAGAATGTAAGGTATAAAACACAAACGGAAACAAAGCTTTTAAAAGCAAATGTTTCAAACGTTATCCGATATCGCTCCATTAGATGCAAATTAGCTTGCTTATCGTTTCCCTGTGACCCTTGTTTCTGGTATGTCATGTTTACTTCACAGAGGTTTCAGTCACAGAACTTAATATGGACGCATCCAATTTCTGCGACATGCTAACTAAGTTGGTGCTTACTCTGAAATTCTAATAGATGTTTTGATATCCAGATAAACAGATTTCGGATATCAACACCCTCAGACTAATTAATGTGTACGTCCTTAGCGTTAATGGTCACGCCTTTAACGTGAATTGCACATCGCGGGCCCGGTTGCCTTGCTGATGCTTCGACGTCTCAAAAGAAAGAGCGAGAGGGAGAGAGATTTGAGTGACTGCAGTATTTTCTTTGCCGCCTCTGTAGTCTAGTGGTCAGAGTTCCTGGCTACAGATCCAGAGGTCTCGGGTTCGATTCCAGGCGCTACCCGATTTTCTGAGAAGTAGTGGGTCTGGAACGGGGTCCGCTCAGCTTTGTGAGGATAACTGAGAAGCTACTTGAATGGAAAAGTAGTGGCTCCGTTCTAGAAAACCGAAATTAACGGCCGCGGGGATTCGTTGCGCCGACCACGCGACACCCTCTATCCGCTAAAGTTGCAGTAACTTCGCCGACAAGTGACGGTCGCTCGGTCGTTATATTTCGCTTGCGGACTAAAATTACGGAGTTTGTTTTGTTTGCCGTATCTTCTTTCATCACATCACATTACGTTAAGTTAATAGGCCTAAATGTACCAATTGTGTCCTCTTTCAATCTGGTTTATTTATTTATTTTTCTCTTTATTCTGTGTCCAGGTTCACGCAAGTAACACACAGAACTTCGGTTTCCACGTCACAGGAAACACCGCCACTGGAAAGAAGTATCGATTTATATTCTCTAGGGAATAAATGTTGTTTATTCTGAGAATTAATGATTTATATATCGAACACAACATAAGATCTGTAATTACATTTCATATCTTTTATATATCGATACTGCTTTAACATGAGAATCAAGTATCAGTGGATTCTCGCCAAAACTACACACGTAAGACAGAACAGATTCCGGTCCATTGAATTGTCTTGAAATACAAACGCAGGGAAGAGCAATATACCGATAAATGTGAGCTCTGAGGGGCTCACGGCAGTGAGTACTGCAGGAAATGCCTTCTGACATGTGACGACGCCTACCAACATTTCGGAGCGACGTGGCAGAAGTCACGGCGTCATATTCCAGAGCAAATCTATATTTTAATCTATTAACATGGACTCAAACTCCCGAACCCATAGCCATTTGTAATCTTCTTTCATAGAATATTGTTGCCACATGTCGATAAGTAAAAAAACAGCAAAGCACAGAGTTAGCTGAAAATCTGACAGTTGCTAAGATGCTTAAGAAATTCCCTGCCTTCGGTGGAACACAAATATTCACCGGTGCGTGCAAAAGAATTCGATACTACTCCGTTTTGAGCCAAGCTGAATCCAGTCCATCCCTTCACGAGCCATATTGTAACGAGAGAGACCAAGGTTTGCACATATGAGTGACGGTTTGTGTCTGGGAAGCAGACCTGCCCACGGACTGCCGCACCGCAGTGAGCTTGCGGATTGCAGGCCACGGAGTTTGTTTGTTTGTTTGTTTGTTTGTTTTATATATATATATACAGTAAATCCTCGGTAATCCGGTTAAGTTAATCCGGATCGAAACTTGCAAAATTGTGTTCACAACTGAGTAAATACTTTAAACGACACGAGACATTTAGGAAGGCAGATAAGTCACTTGTCTGTTCGGGGGGGGGGGAAATAGACAGTTTCCTCAAACCTTCAATATTATGTTCAAAAACAAATATAGTTTCTGAGTCTTCTATCGATGAATAATATGTTGTCTTTTATAGCGTTTAAATAAAGGCTCTACAGTGATATATTTTTATTTACCTTCATCAACAATACTTATATCGTTAAATTTTCCTTTTCTCTGTATTTTAGGGCTAGGTTTTGTTTCACTAATCCGAATTAGTGAGGATTTATTACAATAATCCCTGCAAACCCTGACATGTGACATCAACTGCATTTAACTCTACATACCTTTGAAGGTTCTGTTCCACATGCGCTTCGTGATGTCCCTGCCGTCGAGCTCCGAGCCCCCGTCGTTCAGGGTCTCGTTCAGGGCCAGGGAGTACAGCAGCACCGCGTCATAGAACGCCGTTACGAACGTGGATACGGACTCGTTGCTGAAAGTCTGGTTGTACTTGTCTTCTGCCAGACGCTTCACCTCTTCCGAGAACGTGCGGTACTCCTTGTTGTCCGGCGTCGCGGCGGTCACCGTCAGCAGGGCGCTGTAGGCCTTCTTGGCTCTCTCGTTGCGTTGCGGAGGGTCGCCGATCACTTCCCACGGTCGCATGCTGCTCTCGCTACTGCGGGCAAACCAAGGCCATTAGTTAGCAAACTGTCCTGCGTTCTGCGGCTGTGGGTTTCTCCGTGCAGTCTGGTAGTTGCCGTATCTCCGGCTCTGTGAAATATGTGCTCATGTCACGCACTGATGGCATTATTCTTTCTGAAAACAAAATTTACAGCATCGCCCTTTCGATCTGTACAGTGGATGCGCCAATTCTGAAAGCATATCGTCGTTACGTGAATATAAGGGCCGCGCCATAGCTCAAGCGGTTAGTCGCTGGCTTCCCACCACGGCGGCCCGGGTTCGATCCCAGGTCTGGTTAAGTGGGATTTGTGGTGGACAAAGTGACGCTGGGGCAGGTTTTCTCCTAGTACTTCGGTTTCCCCTGCCAATTTTCATTCCACCAATTGCTCCAAAATCACCCTCACCTATCATCTGGGGCTGGTACAATAGGCCAGAAGTGGCCGCAGTACAAGGGACCTAGTCCCACCCCACTAGCAATAAAAGAATACGTAAATATAAAGGCATCGCATAAATGTACAATTAATTACTTTAATGTGAAGATTATGAGGACTTCACGTTGACACTATTTAGCCCACAGCAAGTTAAGTTTGGATTTTTATGAACATCCGAGTCGTCAGACATTAGCAAATCAAGTACAGTTAAATTATTCTGACAACGGGTCTGCAGTTGTGCGCGGATAGAAGCAAAAACTGGTTTCTTCTGCCCGTGTTTTCGTTTAGTTTATCTTTACCTGGAACGATTCACGAAAACCACCAAAAGTATTAACCTTGTCTGAAGGCAGTGGTTAGAACCCGGGATATCCCAATTAACTACACCGCGTCATTTAACACAGCTCATTTGCTTCAGCCCTCTGAATCCTGAAGTCTATTGAAATATTTCAAAATTCAGTTCGTACCTCACAGAAAATACATTGGTTCTCCACAACAAAGACCAATAAGTTAATGTTATAGGGAAACAATCGCTGTTTGTTGCGAGAAAAATAACAAATAAATACATTGTTTGGGGAAAATGCAAACCCTCTGAAAGTAAAAACATGTGGTTTTAAGGGTTAAGGAGTTGAGCTACTAAAGGTGGAGGCCTTTTATTTCCAGAGTTCTGCAGCTTCCACTGGGATCAATTTGCTCTCCTTGCTGGAAGAGATGTAATTAAATTAAATATTCCTCCCCTTCGAGGGCGAAAAGTGCTAATTACTGGCGTGAAACTTGTTTTTCTTTCTGAAGGGTGGCTCGTAACTCTATGTATCGCGCTCATTATAAAACGACAGTTTGTTGCAATTTAGAGGCAATAATAATTCTTAGTTTATATCATAGCAGGTCCGCTAATTTGGTTGAACTCTCCCTGTATTTACGTTAGCACCAGAACTCTACACAGCGTACACCCAGAGCAGCATCACGAGGGAACAGTCGGCAAGAAAGCGAGATGCAAGACGGCCCTGATCAGGAAAGTTTTGTCCACCACAAAAGATACACAAATGAAACGATGCATAATTCTGAGACGATGTTCACAGTTCGTGTAGTACGGCAGTATTTCATACAGATTCTTTTTGTGGCCTACTTCACGACTCTGTCAGTAGACAGACTACATAGGCTCGATTAATGGGATGACAGATGACTGATGAACCGGAAGGAACTTGGAAGGAAGTGGTAGTGGCTTACCCAGCCATTTGCTTAGAGGAACTGAGGAGGACAGCGATAGACCTAAATTAGGATAGCCGTTACCCTGACGGAGATTCAATCTCAGCACTTGCGGAATACAAATAAAGAGGGCTACCGCCATGAGAACCCGCTCGGTTGTACTATTATCGCAGAATTCATAAGGAAAATTTAGCGTTCCCCCTCGTTTGTCTGATTATGTCGAAAACCGTAAGATTTTTGGGTACTGTGCATGAAACATACATCCCTGTTTTCTCTCCAACTGCTGTTCCAAACGCTTTTTGCTTCGACAAATATTTAGCGAGTTACGCTCGTCATATGGGCAGAAAACAGTGTGATGGTTTTCATGTAAAGTATCCGTTATTGTTGACTTAATCTAATCAAAATCTGAATGTATCAACAAATTGCCTATTAAAAAGCACCCAGTATGAAATTTCATGAATATCCGTTAAGTGGTTTTCCAGTTGCTACACGCCAACAGAGATAGATGGCAGAATTACTGGACGCACTTCTGGAACGCTCCTTTACGAACTTCTCATTCGTTCCAGGAACTCCTATCTATACGACGTTACGCTTCTTGAACACAGTCTCTGTCCCTAAGTGGAAGTTTCGATTGGCCAACACGCCATTTCAGTTCTGACGGCCATAAACCCCCCAGCTCAGCTTGTTCGCCTTCCGAAACTAGGCCACGGGAAGGCCTCATCAGGTTCAGGCCTCTCGGTCCGACCGACATGCCCGCTTATGTGCCGACTATGTTGGGGCTTGGAGTGTCACGGTCCGATATATTTATTAAGCGAAAGGGTTCATAACCGCGGTTGTCTCCGTTCTTTTGTAATATGCTTCTCACCCACACAAGGAGTCCTTTAGCTTAGCTACCAGATCCATAATCTGAGTTAAAAAGCAGATATGGCATAAGCCTTGAGGAAAATGAGAAACAGCCACTTCGAACAGACGTGCGGTACAGCCTTGCAAGACGTCTTCCTTTGATTCATTATTAATTCCATTTATGATTTATTAGCGAAGTTTCCAGCAGCTCAGGTACAAAACACAGAAAGAGAGGATGAGTGGGTGATGAGTTGGAAAGGATAAGCGGCCGTGTCCTAATGTAAGGTATTATCCCAGTATTTGCCTGAGGGATTGGGCAAAACTTCAATAAAAAAGAAACTCTGTCACGATAACTGCCCTCTGGTGCGAGATACGAGCTCGGGGACCCCAGAATAGGAAGCAGAGCATTACCACCGAGCAGGAAGTGTACAGGTGACGCTCTACAATCGTATTATGAAGTCCTCGGTTTGAATCTCTGCCGGAAAATCGATTTTCTTGAATGACGTCTTCGGTAGTTTTATTCAGTTCCTCCAGGAAATGTGGGGACAGACCTCGATTTCGCCGCTTCCTTCCAGATACTTTCCAGTTTTTTATTGCTAGTGGGGTGGGACTAAGTCCCTTGTACTGCGGCCACTTCTGGCCTATTGTACCAGCGCCAGATGATAGGTGAGGGTGATTGTGGAGCAATTGGTGGAATGAAGATTGGCAGGGAAAACCGAAGTACTCGGAGAAAACCCGCCCCAGTGTCACTTTTTCCACCAAAAATATCACTTGACCAGACCCGGGATCGAACCCGGGACGCCGCGGTGGGAAGCCAGCGACTAACCGCTTGAGCCATGGCGCCCTGCCACTCGAGGCTATATAGTGTAGACACTAAGAGCGCAAAAAGACAGGACTACTCGCTCAGTCGTGAGGTTCGATGCCTGACCTGTCGGTAGGCATGAGCTGGCCAGGGGCAATTCTGAGTGATGGATAGACAGAGTAGATGGGGCCGTGAGAACTGACAAGTGTGGAGCCCACGAGACCGTGAATGGGGCCAGGGAATAAGGGCGGATGGATTCGCAGGCGAGTTTCTTCGCCCTTACGAGACATTTGATTTACTGGCACAATTTCCGCTACACAAACTGCATTCACTTTATCTGCCATGCTGGCAATTTGCTTCTGTTCACGTGATCAGCTTCTGTTTGCTACATTCTAAACATTATCTTGCAGCATCTGAGATCATATTTGCTTTATTCTCTATTGATTGTCTTCAGGAATTAATCTATCTTTTGTGATTTCTTCATATTTTTGTGAATGTACACACGAGCATGCGCACTTCAGGGTCCACAGCAAGCTGATTGTCGCAGAAGGCAGCCACGATGCACTCCATATAGAGGTACGGTGATCCTTGTGGCCATGTCTGCTCATCTCTTCTCCTTCAACTTACAGAAGCAAGCACGCTGAAACTACAAGTAAAGCTTCGATCAAGGATTCTCCAATGCTCGTACAGTAGGAAATGCTTTATTTTCTGTACTTTGGAATTTCCTACAGGCCGTAGCGTGATTTGCATAATGGGAAGCCACGCAATTTGTGCTCTTCATATCATTGAGTATCGTCGACGAGGATGAGATAGGTTGGGTATGTAGTAAGAACAGGAGAGCCCAGAAATGAGCATACAACTTTGATCGAAAAACGTATATGGCAGAGACCTTCGGAGATGTAGACGTGCATGAGAGGATAATATTAAAATATATCTTAACGTAAATAAAATGATAGGATGTGAAATGAATTTATTTGGCCAGGATCCAGTAGCCAGCTCTCGTTAGCAGGGTAATAATTCATCTTGGGGTTTCATAAACGGCGAGGAATTTCTTGCCCGAGTGGACGATAACCAGATTGCCAACAAGAATTCTGTTCAATAAGATTAGTTAATTGTTCAATGTGCTGTGATGTTTGTAGACCCGGTACTCAAGGGTCATGTGGGCATACAGTTTCTGTGCTTCGTGCTGTGGGAACTCCGATGCGTCGAAGGCGGTTGGTGACGTCCACCGTGAACTTCATCATTAGGGAAAGTTACTCCTTTCTATTTTTAACATACTCGTACTTCCTGCATGCACAGAGAGGTACACAGATCCTCTCTTCCGTGATGTTGCCTACACAGGACACGGCGTATGACCTGCCCTGGTTCGCAGGGCAGATGTAATTTCATCAAGAAATAATTTTAAACATAAATTTTCGGCTTTACAAAGGGAATCATAATAACCTGTATTGTAGTGCAAAAACGATCTACTTCTACAGCTGTTTCGTTGCTAGGTAACCGTTTAATTCATGGAGAGACCGCTATGCTGTCCCACAGCAGCAAATGACAAAACACTGGTCATATGCTCACGGGACCGACGTACCAAACAAGCTGTCGGGCTGGAAATGAATGGGCTGCAGACACTTTGGTTAGGACGGCCAGTGAGAAACAAAGGTGTGATTTAGTTCAGGTTAAGGATCCATGATTTAGGGATCAGCTCGTCTGTCCTCTGTTGGA